TTCCTGCATTTAGAACACCGCTCAGCACTTCAGCACCACACTCAGGGGTCATTTAAAACAGTGACATCACCAACCAAAAGCACAACAGTTCAAAACCTGTGGTACCAGACAGTCCATGGAAAGAAGCATCGCTTATAATGTGAGAACTGGGGGAAAAACACAAAAACAAAAAAGAAAAACATCCCCATGTTCTCTCAGCTGGGAACACGTGCACAGGCCACTCAAGTTCTCCGCTGATCCTCACCTGTCCACAATTAACCACAAAAATGCAACCAGTATCCACTTGGGGCTTACAAATAAATTGTAGGCAAATACACAAACATGGACTCTCCGGAGTTCCCTGTGGCCAAGGGTGCAGGCACAGAAGAGTGGAGAAGAGTACGTCTCTGAGCTGATGGTTCTGAGACAGTCTTAGCGAGTATCTGCCCCTGGTGTACAGGTAACAGTGTTTCCCCACGCATCACAGAGGCTCAGGAGCAGCTGACCCAGAGCCGGGAGGGCATGCCGGGCAGGTGAGTGAAGAAGGATGCAGCAACGTATCATATGATTGGTGATCATGCACCGGACAGGATGGAGGACCTCCCAGTGGACACCAGCGTCCACATATAGTAGAGGAAGATGGGGCCTCCTGCCCCCACTCATGCTTCTATGCTGAGGGGCTCTGTAAACTGGCTGGAAATTAGAGGCAGCCCTCAAAACCTGGAGATCCTCAATTGACTGAAATTCTACTGAACGTACTCATAAATCCAGAGAGTGACTCAGATTTAGTTTCTGCTAAAAATGGAAATAATCAGAAATATTCAAGCATCTTGTGCTCCCTGGGAACAAGTCAGGGCATGTGAGGCTTTGTTCATCATTAGCACGTCTTTATTGCTGTACCTGTGATGTGAAAAATGCCACAGTAAGCATGTCATGCCCTAGGTGGACCCCAGAAAAATCACAGCACGTGAATACAAGATAACCCTTAACATGCATGAGATACCCTGGCACAGACACGGGTTCTAGACTTTGAAAGGAGAAAAATATCCCTTTGAATGTTGATGCACGGAGACTCCCCCGGAGGAGGAGAGATAATTTGGCTAGGGATGAGGATGGTGTGCCTAAGCCAGGTGAAAAGCAGGAAGGTGTTTTATATGGAGAGGGTGAACGCAGGAGCAGACTGAACAGTGAGAAATTCCCAAGGCACGCTGGGGGGAATTAAGTAGATTAGGTTCAGTAAAGTGGAATAATAGAAAAAAAGAGTAAGAGATAACAACATGACAGGCATGACAAAAGAAGAATCCATTCAACTTACTGAATGACTAGCTTTAAGGACAGAGCAGAAAAAGTGTTAACGGAGGAACCATGTTTGGAGTCTGGGGACTGAGCATCAGGGCATTAATGACAGAAGTCAGGAAGCCAGAACAGAAGTGGTTTGAGGCGACGTGAGTGATGAGCTTGAGGTGACAACCTGACATCCTAGGGGAACTGACAAGCAAGCCGCTGAAGGGATAAAACAGGCTCTCAGAGGAGACGCAGAATTGGAGATGTGGATCTGAGGGTTCTCAGTACAACTGAGATCATCACAGAGCCTGTGAGCGGGCGGATCTCTGATGTGAGGCAGTTGGAAAGGGGAGGTAGAGGAGGACAAAGTGTCCACCAGGGAAGCAAAGAAGGAACAGTCAGGGAGTTGAAATGCACATATTATCCCGAGGGCAGAGTGAGGACAGAGATTTGCAATTTGCAGATACACAGTACTACGTGTGAAACAGATAAACCACAGAGACCTACTGTACAGCACAGGGAACAATATTCAATGCCTTGTAATGGCCTATAATGAAAAAGAATACAAACATGAATGTGTGTGTGTGTGTGTGTGTGTGTGTGTATACAACTGAATCACTTTGCTGTACACCAGAAATTAACACATTGTAAATCAACTGTACTTCAATTGAAAAAAAAAAAAGAATGGATGATCAACTGTATCAATTGCTCCAAGGATAAAAGAGACAGAGGACTGAGGAAACTCAGCTGAGTTTGTTGCCAAGCAGTTTACCCCTAAGAGGGAAATTTCTGTAGCATGGTTGAGGTGAAAGACAAAATGATTTTGAGAATGGGTTACAGAGTGAGTTTATAAAAAAGTTGCTACTGTAGAGCACAGGGAACTATATTCAATATCTTGTAGTAACTTGTGGTGAAAAAGAATATGAAAATGAAGCTATGTATGTTCCTATATGACTGAAGTACTGTGCTGTACACCAGAAATTGATGCAACATTGTAAACTGACTATACTTCAATGAAAATCTATTTTTTAAAAAAGAAAAAAGAGTGAATTCACAGAGGGGGATGGAGATAATGGCTACTGGTCACTTTGAGAGAAAGTTTGGAAATGACTCGGTTTGCAGCATCTTCAAGGGAAAGGTAGGGAAGACGTCATTTTGTTTTGTGACCTGAAGTTTCTGCATACAAAGAGGAGGGGTCCGACGGAAAGAGACCACATGATGATGGAAGAGCGTGATGATGATGAAGACTGAGGAAGGCTGATTAATAACAAGAGCTAACTCTTCCCTGGTTCTTGTTATGTTCCAGGCACCGTCCTAAGCGCTTTACACATATTAGCACATCTTAATCTCATCATATTCTACCAAGGTGGGTACTGTTATCATCCTCATTTTAAAGGGGAATAAATGGAGGCATTTGCAGCCTATATTATATGACAGCCACTATCACCATCTGGAAGAAATGAGGTCAAGAAATGAACTCAGACAGGTTTGCCTAAAGATGTCATGCTCTCATCCACTGGGCTATGTTAGTTACAAGTGTTAAACAAGGAAGTCAGAGTAAAGACTCCCTTCACGAGACGGGAAGAGAGAGGTTCATCCCCAGGTAAAAGGCAAAGTGCCTGAGCACCATCCTACATGACAGGACATCAGATGACAGAGCCCTGTCTTGAAAGTGAAAGAGAGCAGGGGTTAGTGTAAGGATTTAGGACACGCTGAACCTGACGAAAGTTGACGAGAAAGGAGCACACACTATAGATGCAACAGAGCAGTGAAACCTGCCCATGTCTTCTGCAGCCCCAGCGTAGAAGGGAGCCTCAGAGATAGTCACGTAAGATCAAGTTCAGTGCGGCTCTCCAGGGGAGGGGTGGGAAGATTTGTGTTTGTGGATGAGCCCAGCAGGCAAAGCTGCAAAGTAAGGCCTGGGGAGGACGTCAGGGTCTTGGAGAGAAGTGTATTTAAATGACAGAGTATATGTTTTACAGTTCCAGACAAGAAGCTATTTCAAGTTAAAAAAAAAATCTTGATAACTTAAGATGCTGAATATTTACAACACAGAGTTTGTACACATAGATACCAAATTGAGGAATTCACACATTTTTATAGAAGCAATTAAAATAAAGGACTCAGCAACTGAATCTTCCATCAGGAAGTGCTGTCTAACTACATTATTATTATCATCACCATTATTATTATGATTTCAGATATGACTGTTTCTTTATTCAGTATCAATAAATCTCAGACACTGAAAGACAAAATCTATCATGAGGCTTATGTAGACTGAAAATAGTTGTCCAGCCTCAAAGGATTTTGATATATCGTTCTTCACAGCCCGACCAAGCAAAGGCTAAAACATGGATAAAACACCAACTCTACCTTTGTTGAACGCCTCTAGGAAACGCCACAAAAATGTCAAAAGAAGAGATATTTAAATCAATGGATATCTAGAAAACACAATTCTAATCCTATCATAGATAATTGTCTATCATGGATGACAGTTATAAAAAAATGGTCATGCTGTTATCAGAATTATTAACTATTTAATAGCTAAACAGATTTCATAGATGTTGGCAAGTAACATAAAATCATTTTAAAATACTGTACTCTCTCTGAAATACTTCTTTTTCCTAGACCAAGAGTGTGAAGCAGTCAAAGGTCATAAAAATGTCATCCTGAACTTCGCCTAGAAACATTTTGTTTCCCGAAAGTGAATACTCTAAAAATTTAATTCAGGGTTGATCATTTAGTCATGATAAATGCTATTAAATATAAAAAGCAAATTTTTCCTCATATACTTGTGTTCACTTTTTAGATGATTGCTTGTGTTTAGATTGTGTTTATGAACATTTTTTCCAAAAATAAAAAAACTGTTTTAGGTTCCAAGGAATATGGTTCAATTACATTCTGAAACTTATGTTCTTGAATGATTTCCAAATATAGAGGTGTATTTCATTAAATATAGAGAATTTGCAAAATAAAGGTTTTAAAACCAGATTTTGAATTAAAAAAAAAGATTTAATTGCAGGTTGACTTTCACTAGTCAATTTTCAAAGAAAAGTTTCCAGGTCTGAGAGTCTGAGCTAGCCAGGCTGTCCTTATGGTGATGCTCAGCAAAGCAAAAGGTGCTTATACGGACAGCTCGCTTCTAATAGAATATTTATGATTACATTCCAAAGCCAACTATAGATATTTGTGCTTTTTAAAATATATATCCCCACTGACTGCAATTATAAATGCTCCCTCATCAAGGCATCATAATTGTAAGAACTTTTTTAAGAACGCTGAACTAGAAGCCAAGAAGATAAATTAACAATGGCATTCTTGTAAGATTTTGAAAAATTTCTTGGGGTTCCCACCTTGGGATTAGAATACGAAACAACGAGGAATGAAAATCAAGAAATGACTTTGAAAAGAAAAATAAATATTTAATCCTTTCCCAAGGTTAATTATTATCTTTTTATAAGGACATATGCCTTCACACAAATATTTAATATTCTTTTATTTGTTGGGTTTTTTTGGGGGGGAACGGGGGTGGTAATCTGGTTTGTTTATTTGTTTAGTGGAGGTACTGGGGATTGAACTCAGGACCACGTGCATGCTAAGCACCTGCTCTACCACTGAGCTATGCCCTTCCCTCTTTAATATTCTTAATAGATTAAATATCTGAATTTTTGTTTCCTCTGCATTTCAGTTGTAAAAGTAAAGCATGAAGAAGGTTCACCATGCAGGACATTTCTCACCTTATTGTATACGTTGTGACTAAACAGGGTGTGAGAATTCTCCTGTCCATCACTCAGGGAGAAGGAGGACACGTGACTGAAGGGTCCCGGGGTAAGACAATCAGCGTGTGGGAGGGTCTGTGGATGCAGCAGGGACTTAGCGGGAGGACGGAGTCTAGTCTGATATAAAGGATGGAGAGAAACAGGCTTGGGAGGGACTGGCGCATCCTGGGAGGAAGAAAGGCATAGAGAGCATGTTAGTGGACAAAAGTCACGCTCACTTGGCATTAAGTCTCCATATGAGAGACGTTGTGTCAGGATCTCTTACTAGCAGAAAGAAAACAAGACTTGTGCTTTCACAGCACATTGTCCATCTCTTCCAATAATTCCTGTGGCTCGCCCACCTCCAGCCCCTTCTGCAGAACTAAACAGGTCCCTGCGGTGTCCCCCAGAGGGGCCACGTATGTTTAAGGAAGGAGAGCGCTCATCTCAAAGGGGCAAGATGGGATTAGAAAAATCTTCATTGAAGAGGTGGTAACAGTGGGAATTAATTTAAAGGTGTTTGTGATTTGGTCTGGAAGAACTTGGGGGAGAAGTGGGAGGGCATCATAGCGTATAGCAACCTGGGGTTTAATTCACGGTGCAGGGACCTGCTCTGTCGGGCTGAGCCTGGACAAGAGACGGGGCACAGGTGAGTCTAGATTCTAGAATGAACCAAGGCATCCATTCCAGGCAGTGTGTTACTTTGGAGAGAAATTGGAGAGCCAAGAGGTGAGTTCCACTGTAGAGGGGAGAAGTAATGAGGGCTTGATTAGAGAGGCTCCTTCCCTCCCCTGGGAAGGGGATGGATGAGGAAGTCTTTGCAGAAGAAGAAGCTGCCAGGCGAGGCTGTGAATCCCCTAAAGGAACAAGGAAACCGGCAGGGAAATCCAAGCCTACAGAGAAAACTCGCAAACAAAACAAACAAACAAACAAACAAACAAACAGTATGTGCGTATATATCGTGAAAGAAAAGGGCTACCTTTTTTGCAGACATGTAAGTACCTCTTATAGTCCTAAACGTTTTAATATAAGATAATAAATTGACAGTGATTAGCCTACAATAAAACTCCTTCGGGGACAGACCTCATCAAATGAGACCTGTTTTTCGTTCCCCTTTGTGACCTCAGCATCAAGCACAATGCCTAATACAGTACATGCTTAATGCAGGGATGATTGAATTTTCAAAGGAATATGTTATCTTCTATGAGGCCAAGAATGCAGCCTATAAAATAATGCCTTTGGCAGCAACGTGGATGGACCTGGAGATCGTCATTGTAAGTGAAGTAAGTAAGACAGAGAAAGAAAAATACCATATGATATCACTCATATGTGGACTCTAAAGAAAGGACACAAATAAACTTATTTACAAAATAAGAGAGAGACTCACAGACATAGAAAACAAGCTTATGGTTACCAGGGGGGGAAAGCTGGCTGAGGAGGGATAAATTGGGAGTTCAGGATTTGCAGATACTACTACTGTATATAAAATAGATAAACAACAAGGTCCTCCTGCCTAGCATGGGGAACTATATTCAATACCTTTTAATAGCCTAGAATGAAAAAGAATATGAAAAGAAATACATATGTGTACACATACAACTGAATCACTATGCTGTACACCAGAAATTAACACATTGTACATTGACTATACCTCAATAAAAAGTGCAATAAAAAAGAAAGCATTCTATTATTCAGTTGTTGCTCTGTTCCATTAGTAGTGAATAAATATGCTTGGCTTTGCATGAAATGGAAATTTATTATAAAATAATATACACTGCTCAAAGTGACATTCAGCTAAACAGGTCTACTTTTAAAATGGTACCGTTAATCATTTTTCTCATGTAAGCTGAACTGATTTTTTGCCAAAGCCATGTATTTTCAAGCCACTGACTGGTTTTCTAAAATGTATGCTGAACATGTTTGCTGTATCAGAAGATGTCCCTACGATGGGTTCAAACTCACTTTAAAAACTTACTGCAAAATTTACTTTAAAAAAACTCCCGGAAAATGTTAAGCAGGTTAGAAAATCATAATTCTAGGGTTTTTTAAGTTTGTAGAAATGAGAGTTTTTAACCCTCCGTACCTTGAAAATGTGACTAAATGTGTTTTATTTTTATCAGTTTCTTGTTTGTGCCTCAAGAGTCTGTTTTACACACGAGGCAAATACAAATACGCATTCTGATTTCACACACACGAGTACACACTTATTAAAAAGACGGCATTCTATATACAGCATTCTTATTTCTTTCAGTTTCTTTTTCCATTTGACAACAGTTTTGGAACATTTCGGTATCAGTACGTGAAAGCTATGGATTCCCTGCGAGACACATGACTGGGTTCCCTCACTGATTGTAATTCATCATTCAGTGACACCACCTAACACAGCCATCAGTTCACCTCTTCTTTGCCAGTTTTTTATACTTTTATTTCTTTCTTTTGACTAATCGCATTGGCTAGTGCCTCTAATATTATTATCATTAGATAACAGTCACGTCATTGTGCAATTTTAATGGAATGCTTGTAGTAGTGGCCTGCTAACGATGGCTTTTAGATTAAAATATATTCTAATTGCGTTTTATTCCTCAATCAATGAGTTCATGATTTATCAACAACTCTTAACATTTCTTAGTCAGTGTGGAAAGTGATTAATATGAAAATTGAGTAGCAAGCACAAAGACGAGCTGTGCAAGGAAAAGGCAGCACTGTGTCAGCTCTGGAAAAAAGTGTCCCAGCTGTACTGTGTTGGGTTGGCCTTGTGCAGAAATTAACAGCCATCTTGCTCTGGAAATGTTAAACATAATTTTTTTTTCCATTTGTACAGGGGTAATGCACTGTATTAAATATGTAAGGTCTTATCCACATGGGTTTGATTATAGAAACTAATCAAGTATTCTCTAAATTAAAACCAAAATTTTTTTTAAAGGAAAAGGCAGCATTGTTGATAGTTGACGATGCCAAGGAAGTGAGAGGTGAACAGTCTCTGGTTTACAGTCTGGCTTCAGCTTTTCCTGGAGGGTACCACAACCCACTGTGAGGATGTCGGGAACCAGAGATTTCCTAATATGGAGCAATCTGGCAGGGTCAAGGTCAAACCAATCACCAAGGGTAAAATATATGGGTATGATAGTAAAGTGTGTGTGGCTTTGTGTTCTATGCTGCTAAGCTCCCACTGGCCAACCTCCATTGCTCAGGGATCGGTCAAACCTGAACGCTTGTGTAGGGGCAGATGGTGTCAGCTATTCCAGGCAGCTGGGCGGCAGGGGAGAGCAGAATTTTATCAGCGTTTGGACAGGCCAAAGGGTGAAGAATCTTGGGCAGGCACCGCTGAACACAGTCCGTGGACAGTACTGAACAAAGCTGAAAGCATCCTTGGTGGTGACAGCCTCAACACGGATGCCACTTGCGACATCTTTTCCAATCTGAGCTGTTGTCTTTGATGCTTGTATACGTTGTGACCCTGTGATTCTTTTTACCATCATCCTGGGAATTTTCTTTGCCTTTCTCTTGTGTTTGATTTCCTGTTTCCAGTATCCCATGTTTTTTGTTTCTTTGTTTATTTCCCGATGGTTCCTTTCATATTTTCTGGGCCCTAAGAGAACTTTCTGGGAAATAGATTTTGGGGAGCAAATTTTTAATACCTTACATGTTGAAAACTGTGTTCTGCCCTTACACTTAATTTTTTGGATTTAGAATTCCACATTGCAAAGTAATTTCCTTCAGAATTTGTAAAGTATTGTTACACTGTAATAGTGTTATCACACTTTACTCTTTTATACATTTTTTCCAAAAACATATTTTTTATGTATGATTTCTACAGATTTTCTGTTTTCCAGTTACCTTTTGCCAATTCTTAGAAATTCCTTTTTTTTGCTTTCCTTACGCACAGGAAATCTGATTGTTCTTGAATTTTCCAAATTGAATATTTAATCGATTTATTTTTATTCTCTTACTGATTCATTAAGCATATTTAAAATGCTAAATTTTCTTCCAAGAGCTATTTTAACTATATTTGATACATGAGAATAGATGATCATTTCATTAACTGTTATTTTCAAGTAGAAATTCCTGAAAATGAGTATCATTTTCCCTGGGTTGCCCCTGGGCATCCCTCTGGTCCTCACCTAACCGTTGTTTTGTTCCTCCTTTTTGGCTTTAGGACGATATCAGGATGATCAAATGTGATGCACTGCTAACTTCATGCCTGTTCTATTCAATACAAGTATTCATAATGCCATGAGAACCTGTTAAAACACTTTGCCACAAGGAAATAACTTGAGAAACTTTGAATGAGCCAGAAGATTTTCTTGGTTCTTGACCATCTCATTATTGTAAATAATGTAAATATCTTTATTACCATATCTCTAAATTCCTATTCTTCTACACAAGAATCTTTCTCTCTCTATATATAAATATACATAATCTTATGTACATATATGTTATATATGCGTATGTGTGTGTGTGTGTGTACTTACATCTTCTTTTTTATCATGGCTTATTTATGGATGTTGACATAACTGCAGCCTCATAACACGATCTTCTTTATGTATCCTGCATTGTCGATTTTACCCTCACAGTTTTCCCACAGAACAGTGATTTTATTAAAGAAGTCACTAATTTTAGAGAAATAAATCTTCTCTGACTTACTTCTCCTACATAAAGTGACTCAAAAAGAGTCACTTTCACATATTTCATAAAATATAAATGCTATAAACTGAGAATATTGTTAAATTTATCCTTTGATCCAGCAGCACCATAAAACTCCAATACAATGTAATTTGCTCCTTCAGTTTTTCAAATCTTCAGAGGTATTGTCTATGCATTTTTTAATGGTATTGGATACAAAGGAATGAATTTCAATTCAGCATTCTATTGTTTCCTGTGTATTATATTATGGTGTTTACCGTAGCAGAAAGAACACGTGTATCCCAGTTAAATCGGGTTTTAAATTGCTTCCTTTATTAAGATTCCTCAGGAAAAGACTTCTATCATTTGCTGGAGTGAAACTTTAAACATTATAATACTGAGAACCCCTGGTCTTTAAATATTGCTGACAATCGCACAGCATCTTCAAGTCCTGGATGCCTACTTTGTAAATTCCTTGCTAATTATGATGCCATAATACAATTATTAGCTAAAACTCACAGCAAAAACAACAGCTTAGGGCTAGGTATATATTAATAATGAAA